CTCGTGTTCAACACGGATGCAAGCAGAGTAGCGGCATGCAGAGTTCTCTCACAACTAACAAAGACGGAAGGAGGATGTGTCATAACTTATACCGTTTAAGGATAGATGAAAAATATTAGAAGAGTGCTACTTATATGATGGCTAAGCATTTCTAAAGCTGCCTTATGGGTAAAAAATTCGCAGTCCGAACAGATTGCCAAGCTCTAACGCACCAAAAGACGATGAGACGACTAATCGCTTAGAAGCATGGTTGTACGAAGAAATGCAGCAGCATAACTTCGTTAGTGCGACATAGGAAAGGAAGCTCTCTTGGTAATGCAGATGCCCTGTCCCATAGACCTTCTTGGTCGGTGCAGACAGCGCTACAGAAGATATATTAATGTTAAGCGAACCTACTATCCACCACTGGACGAACACGGGGAGCGCTGACCCCAATATGACTAGAAGATATGGACAGCCTCATTCAAGTCCATTGCCCAGGGCAGGATTGTAGCAAGCAAGGTAGTCAAACAGCCATGACAGAACTGGGGGATGATATCATTTAACATAGAGTGCAGATAATCTTAAACACTTTGCGGTCGTCAGCGCGCTAATGAACACAGTTTCACTGGAGCGACACAAGCGAATTGAATACATGAATGAACAAAGATGGCCGAGACTACGAAGGAGAGATAATGATATCCCTGCTGACCTAGGATGTCTCGAATTTTTGTTGAACGCTTGTTATTCGCGCAAGCTTCAAAGTCGTCGATCCATCTAAAATGGCACCTCTGCAGCCTATGCCTACGGGGTCTCCAGATGATGGAGTCGACATCATAACCGGTCCACTCCCAACGAACGAACATGGGAATTGATGGATTTTGTTGTGATCGACTATTCACAAAGGCGGTCGAAGCAGAACCCCTACAAGCGTAGGATGCTGTGACCATAGTAACGACGTTACTTAATTGCTGGATCTGCAAACAGGACGTACCTGAATTGGTCCACGGTAAGCAAGGTCCCAATTTCGGAAGCCCAGCTTTTTGCAGAACCACACGAAACCATTGGGATTCGTAAAGTGTGCACAACACCGGAACCTCCACAAGAAAATGGGCAATTGCTAATTTACGTAACTAAGACAATCTTCCAGAGTACCGAACGACAGCTCACACTTCAACTGGAGTGGCGCCTTTCACGATGTTTAAAGATCATTGCTTGAGGCTTCTTAGCAAGGATATTTTGGCAAATAATGCTCTTGACTATAACATGAGAATGCAGGAGGGCCTAGGTGAATTGTTAAATGTAGCGGTAAACAGTTGCAGGGAGCTTCAGTTAGGCAGGAAAGGTTCTACGATAGAGATATCAGAGTCAGTGTCAACAAAAACGGAGGCATGGTTCAGGCATGCAACCCGATTTCTCCACCACGAATGTATTGAAAATTCGGGTATCCCATGGAACAAGGTCTCTACCGCTTAGTTAAGGTTCTATTGGCCGACGACTATTTGGTTCAAAAAGCAGAACTTCGTGCCCATTTAATGACGTTCAAGCATAACAAGCCTCGCTTCTACGGTGGCAATGCCAGTAAGCTATGGGAACGAGGCTTACGTGATGACAGGGAAGAGAAAAGGCTAATAAGCTAAGGAAAACACAAGTGCAAACATTGAGAACAATTCTCAAAAGAGAAGGGGATTGTGTTGTAGCGTCCCGAGACTTCCTATAGAGTGAAAGAAGGCAATAAAGAAGGTTGTATACATGTATTCCAAAGATAACAGAGTAAATGGGCCTGAGGATGGCCCCAAGGCTAGCTCACGAGTACAAGAGCCAGACATATCTTAAAATTGACCGCCAAAAGTCGGGTATTCACATAAACAAAGCATTATATGTGTCATGCATAACGGTTGTTTAATTTTGCCTTGCAAATGAGACGTGGAAAGTTAAGTCAAACGCCTTGACAGAGGAGTGTGAAGGACCTGCCCACAAATAATGCGAAAACGCAGCTAAATATATATATTTATTTTAGTCTGTACCCCATTTTAGCGGTGTCAAAAAATTTTAGTCGTGCAGTGTAACGCATTGGTTACGTAATCACCTGGCGTTCGACAGTCCCTTTAGGATCTGTATGGCCCATGTACTCGTGGACTGGCCTTCGGGTCATGCTTAGGCACATTTCCTCTGCTTTCTTCGGAATACATGTATCCAACCTCACTTACTGCAATCTTTCAACCTATGAGAAGTCTCAGGACGCTAGAGGCAGAGCATGCAACATACGAAAAATAAAGAAATTTGCAAAACTCTCACAATATATACCACGACTCAGAGTCTATAAAATTAATAGATTAACAAATACTGCAAAACCATTTGACAAGCCAAGCAAAACCAAGATTAAAAAACGGAAAAAAGCACTCAAGAATACTCAGCTACGCAGTAAAAAAATAAAAGTAAGAAAAATTTCTAACCCTTATTTTACTAAGCATTTAAGGTCACGCTGCACCAACATTTCAATTTGGTCCTGCGTTTTACGTTGTGGATTGGGAAAGTTGTTGGTATACACGTAAATTATCCAAAATTGGCCTATTTAGCTAGTGCTATTTCATCACTTTTATTATATGTATTGAGCTAAAATGCATACGAAATATTTATGATACAGACTTTATGCAACTATATTAATGATTTCCTAACAGGAAAATGCCCTGTAAAAAAATGACAATCCGAAAAATATTTGCAGAAAATGCAAGATTTTTCGCAAATTAAAGCTGTATGCTTCGACGTCGATTCAACGGTGTGTTCGGACGACGGCATAGACATGCTTGCAGCGTATTGCAACAAAGGAGAGATCGTGAGTCAAATGTACGTCAACACTTTTCTTTCTCCTGCCACTGATTCCTTGCCACCCCCCTTGTGCACTTCAAGGTGATTTGCTGGGTCGATCTAACAACATTCGACAATTATCCCCGCTTTTGATTCCACTGTCACCTACTAACTTGCAGCTTAAGACCCTGTGAGTTGCAGTGGAAGGTATTTGCTTTGTCGCGAAAATCAGGGAACTCGACTTTTGTGGGGTGGAGCAGACATTGGGTGCAGTCGTTGATAGCTCAACTTCGGGGTCTTTCCGTTTCAGAACAACACAGGCCATGGATGGAACAATGGACGTTACAGAGGCATTGGAGCAACGGTTGAGAATATTGGGACTTTCCAAGGATTTGATAAGACGGTTCCTGGAAGACACTCCTCTGCGACTCACTCCGGGTGTTGAGTAGGTAGTCTGCGGTTGATGCTGAGCGTTCACCGTGGTCTGGTTGTGCTCTTAGCACGCATCACAGTCCCACCTTTAATGCGACCATATGTCCCTTCTTAGTGCTTTCTATTTGCATCTTTCTGTGCATCCTGAACGAGTGTTGGGCTTATTTTGGACAGCTTGCCAAATGCACCGGACCTATGCATTGAATGACACTGATTTGTACGCATTTGTCCTAGTGTTGGTTGGAGAGCATGCTGTAGTTGAGGGCAGTCCGTAAAGCAAAGCTGTGGGTGCTGCAAGCTAAGTGGGACATACAATCTTCGCACACTTTCCTCATTTCAGACGGCTCATCGCTTCTCTGCGATCGAGCAATGTGGAGGTGTATCTGGTGAGTGGCGGAATTTCGGAGTTGGTTGACCGTGTGGCCAAAAAGCTGTGTGTTCCCGAGGATCACGTCTTCTCAAACCGACTTATCTACGACGATGACGGTAAGCATTGGTGGCAGTTGACGATCACTAGCTGCTGGTGTTGTGGGAGCCAGCCTCCTGCACTTGTCCTTTTCCATCTTTTTCCTTCCATGCGTCTTGTGCAACATTTGTTGGGTGCGCCTCTCCATTGGGCCTGCCTGTGCAATTAAGGCGAGTCCATTGTGTGCGACTCATTTTGCCACTGACTCCCACAAATTGATGGCATGATCAACCCAATCATAGGCATTGCGACATGGATGGAGTGAATGGTTGGTGCTGTTGATCTGACTTGCTCAATGGCATCTGATCAATCTAAATCCCTCCAAAAAGAACGTTTCTACTAGTAGTAGTAACCTGTGCACAAGACTTAATTCCCGTGGGTAGTCATAGCACGCTAAATCATGTGATACGTGTGCATAAGGCACCCAATGACCCCATTCCACACTTGTCCTGGTCCCTCAACCAAGCAACGTGCACCAGAGGTGACGCTCAAACACCCACAAGGGCAGGGTGCCAGCCTGACCCGCCTATCTGAACACCGCACCCACCGCTGTAGCATCGCAACAACACCACAGCAATCCCCCACCCATCCCCAAGTCCCAAGAAGCTCGCGATAACTTGAAGTTGATCTCAGCATTACAAAGTCGTGTAGCCTAGTCAATTCAGACCATCGTAACCTCAGGAGCTAGCATAAGTCATGCAAATAAGGAAGGTAGTTTTATTGGTGGCATCCAGAAGACTGCAATGTCAATAACTTAGCCAGGTGGGGTCAGGAGTCTACGACACTCGTAGGGCGGTCCAATTGCAGGTGACATTCTACCACCACAGTACTGTGAATGTTGACAGGCGTGGCAGTGGACTTCGACCGACAACAGCCGACCTCTCGTTCGGACGGGAAGAAGGAAGTGGTGGCAACAATCAAGTCCCAACTGAGTGGCGAGTCAAAGACGGCAGGTGTACTGATGGTGGGTGACGGGGTCACCGATGCCGCTGCCTGCCCTCCTGCCGACGCCTTTCTAGGCTTTGGTGGCGTCATTACTCGACCCTCCATACAACGTGCCACCCCCTTCTTCTTTCACTCTTTTGACGAGATGCACACATTTCTCCAGCACTGTGGCCTCATCATCCACCCGCCCTAAGCCTTCCCTACCAAATACACGCTAAGCATCACTCTCACTCTTTTCCCTACGCAACCGTTATTGGACCAAGCTCTGCCACGATATGAGTCAAATGGAGGAGGAGGGGTCGGAAGCAATGATGCGATGAGGGCAAGATTGTAAAAGTCACTGCGTAGATACATAGCCACGGAAAGATGTTCACATTCCCACGTTCTGCTTGTCCTCCAGTTTCTTTTTGACAAGCGCCTTAAATTGTGCCTGCAATTTGGCCTCCCGTTTGGCCCTCTCGGTGTGGTTGAAGCTCTCGAGAGCTCGCTTCTCGTCCGCAGAGTAGATCTGATTTTCCTTCCGCAATCGCACCGCTTCCATGCGGTGATGGCGACTGCCCGACATGACGTAGCCCACTTGTTCGAACTTTTCAATCTCTTCTGAGGTGAGACCAATCTCCCCTCGACGCGGTATACGCTTCCCCTCTGCAATGTATGCCGCCATTGCAGCACCCTCACCGGGCAGGAGCGCCTTACCGTAGTCGATTCGCTGATTAGTCGAGTCCGCGCCATTGGCTCCTGGCAGCACCGGACCAATGATCTCAGTCGCCTCTTCCTCCTCCTGCCGTCTCCTCTCAAGCTCAGCTTTTTTCGCTTTCATTTGGCGTATAAATGATGCTTGATGCTGGATTGGAGGACTCTTGAGCATGCTTCGAAACCGCTCCTTTTCCCTCTTTTAATGTGTTCTTTTTTAACACAACGCATTGACTTTGTAGCATTTTTTTGTGCAAAATGTGATCTATGATTGTGTACTCTGTGGGTAGCTTGTGGCATATTTAGGAGGTTGGTACTGGGTTTGGTGTGTGGTAGTGCGGTTACTGTCTAGTTTGGTTAAGTCGCGCATTGTCCTCGACGTTCGTGGTGGAGGGCACTGTGTTTGGAGGAGCAGCTGCAACAGTCCAGCTGCATGTGAGCAGTGTGGAGGTAACAGAATATGCAGTTTGGAGGGGTGGAGGTGGTAGATGGGGTAGGCACAGTGTGGCTAGTCGCATGGATGCTGTTGAAGTCGTTCCAATAGGATTGTGAGATTGGAGGCGGAGGATGGTGAGTGCCACTTTGCTTGTCTCATTGTGTGTGTTTGGCG